TTTTTTTTTTTTTTTTTTTTTTTTTTTTTTTTTTTTTTTTTTTTTTTTTTTTTTTTTTTTTTTTTTGGTCTCAAAGGCTCATGTTTCTCTTTCATAGCTCACATTCACTTTTTAAAATATGATGCACGGTGGTATGATACAAATTTAATTGTTCTCCGACCATTCTGATCATCAAGCAACGATCTGAAACTCAAGATCCCGTTTTCTGTCAACATTTCCACCGGTTGTTGGAATTTAGTCTTTTCGCTGATGCTTGATTCATCTTCCTAGATTTTCTTCCTTCTGAAAATGTCTTAAACCTACGAAAATTCTAGGCTATTGAGGAAACACTGTCTTCCTAAGTCTGCTGGAGTTTAATAAAAGTGTTAATTGCCCAAATCTGGTGCAGTCTCGTTGCACAAAGTTGCATCATATTAGTAGCATTTATTTTTAGAACTCACCACAAAAAAACTGTTTTCGCAAGAAACACCACTTTGTACAACCATATTAATCTGGCGAGTTCATACTTGTACTGCAAATCTATGAGGGATTTCCCTACCATCCCTCTAAGTTTGGTAGGTCCAGGATAGCCATATCGAACGCTGCGTCGCAAACCTCATTGCAATTTGCACACGTATATCTCTTTGTAGTTTTAAAAAAAAATCGCAATTGCCTCGTGACGCTGTTTTGAGTTTTCAACTTTACGTTACACTTTGTTTCGCTGCACAAAATTACTGGGTATTGTGGAGCCTCCTATTTTAAATGAAACAAGAAAAATGGCATTGATGACACAGAGTGATTTTGCTGTTTAAGCTTGCATGACCTTAGATTTCACCATTTCAAAATTCTTTTGTACTAATTTTCCAAACATGAAACACACAACAGGAAAAAATATTTAAATTAATTTTTTTTATAAAAAGAGTGTGTTTTTAAAAAATATTAAAATTAAATTTTTTAGTTATTATTACAGTTAAATTTCTTTATTATTAAAATTAAATTTCATAAAAAGATTTCCAATTATTCATGAAGGCATACCCCACCGGGCTCTCTCTCTCGCCAATGATCTTAAGAGTTATAGCTTATTGTGTTGATAAGTAACCAGATGTAATCTTCGATACATCTGACATACATCAACATAGCTATCCTATTTGGTACTAGTTAAAAATATCAATAAATAATTTTTTTAGGTCACTCTCTATTCTCTATGAGTGGTTGGTAATGGTTTTCCAAGAAGTTATATTCTCGTGAGATGTCTCTAAATATGAACAGCACGCAAATATCAATAGTATTGCCAAAGCAGACACATTAATTAATTCGTTCATTTGAAGCAAAATTTAAATTGTATTTATGCGAGAAATATAAGGAAAAAAAAAGCTTTTACATCGAGCAGGTCGTCGAGTTACCGAAGCGGGGGTGACATCCCTTCTGCAAAAGATCAAAATTGTGATGGCATATCTTCGGATCATCCTTAGGAATGCTTCCCAGACCGTCGCCAACCCCCTTTTATGTAGATAGTGTAACGTAAATAAATTACAACTACAACAACATCAAATAAATTAATTTGTTTATCTTCAATCATTTAATGTAGTCCCCGAATTATAAAAGAATACATTTTTGCTGAAAACATTGAATAGTTTGACAAATTTTATCACAAATTATGTGCTTTGGTTTATTTGTTAGTATTCTCATTTAGCACACCGTTCAAATACGAATTCGAAGACGTAGAATTTCTAATACATTAAGTGCCTACCATGTTTTTATATAGTCAACAATCTTTCTCCTGATCAGTAAAAAATGATTTACTTTATTGTAAAATTGTTTTAATACCCACTTTGACAAAACATTGTGAATTGTTTTACGGCCCACTTTGTGCTTCATGGAGCATAGTCTCTGGCAAACACGTACTTTTAATTTAAATTTTTCATTAACTCAAATTTTTTTCTTTTTGAAATTCATTTATTAAAAAAATAATTACATCATTTAATTGGTCTATTCGTTTGGATTTTATCATGGGGATTGTGGATTGGTTATGACTTTTATATTTCAGATAACTTATTTTTTCAATGAAAAATAAGTAGAAAAAAAACTTTCGCCCTCAAGCGAAGAGGATATTTTCAGACTTTTATTTATTAAGTTTTCATTTAGTTTTATCAGAATCATTGGTAGTTTTTTTCTAGTAGCAGCAAATAAGCAAAATTTCTCTAAGAAAAAGACAGAAGAACTTGAAAAAAACGACCCAGAACATTGATAAAACATTCGGAAATAAAACAACTGTTACCATTTGAAAAACAATTTCTCAATTTTTTTCTTTCCATTATCAACAATCTTGCAACCGATAACTTCCGCTTTCGTGATCGCATACTACTGCTGTGTGTATTAAAGTAAAATACATTTGTTTTGTCTTCAGTTCGTTATAAATTAAAGCGAAGTAATTTAGGTCCATATTACTTACTTCATTCCAATTAATAAATGTGATTTCAGAACGTACAGGTAATAGTTACGGAATAGTATACATCTCTGTATCCATAAATTACGAAAAACAGCAATAAACAGTTATCCGAATTATTTAAAATATTATCGTTTGTGGTGATTATTAATAAATTTTATCATTTTCTTGCTAAGTATTTTTTAATTTTGAATGCTTAATTTCAACCAGAATTACATAAAGTATAACTAGAATTACTAGAAGTAACATGCGCTTATTGATTTTACGTTATTGTAATTCATATACAGATCTTACAATTATAAAATTTTATTGTGATGTCATCTTAAAGTAATGTAAGGATAATCTATGCTTGCATTATTTGAGAATAAAATTTTCAAACGAAGAACATTTCATTTTGGTATTCCCCTGATTTATAAAGCAGGTAAATGTTATGATTTTTATAACAATAATTTACCTGCAAATAGATTTTTCTTCTAATTTGATAATAGTTCTCATCAGAATGATCTTCTATGTCTGATTAAGAACTTTAAGACTAAAAAAAGAAGCAATATGATTTTTCTTTTTTTGATCAATATGAGGATTTTTTGAATACATTTTTTTATTGAAACATCCTTTATTTCATATTTTTGGTTTATAAATAATGATTTTTTTAAATAAAACTTTAAATTCTTTAATAAAAATTTAAAAATTGTCACATTTTTTTTTTTTGCAAAATTAAATGATATGACATTGTGAGTCTGTGTATACTTTTTGCATATTTTAATGTTTGAACTACTATGATTCAGAAAAGTAGGGGATGTAAAGTTTAAATAGACCTTTTAGTAGATCGTTAAATTTAGTAGAGCTATTTCACATATTTAATAAGAAGACAAGATACATTTCTTTCTGTTTATTTATCAATATTTATGGGATGTTCCTTCTTTTAAAAGAAAATGAGATTAAATTTTGTTTTCACATATATAAGAAGGAGACGGAATGTAAATCGTTTATCTTTTTTGAATTTAATAAGCCACAATAAAGAAGGAACATTACCAAGCTACACTGAAGAAATCTCCAGCGCAACTGATGATCCTGTTATGATAGCAGTCATTCGGTCTCAAATAGCAAATGTAGCTAGTGTTTTATGGAAAAGAATAGCAACGCCTCCTATAGGTTGTTGCGTTCGCGAATAATTTGTTCATTTAGGGAAAAACTTGCCAATAGGTGTTTGGTCGCATTTCCAATTACCTACACGCAAATTCTACATGCAGCAAAAACAACCCTTCTAGGCGTGAAAAGAAATTTTGAATATCTTATTGGCAACATATTAATACTCTTTGTTTTTATTAATTTTCAAAACAATAATGTTTATATTCAATTGCGTGTCATTTTCCAAAAATTTGGAAATTTTCGTGATATAAATTGAGACATATTGAAAACTACTATTTATTTTAAAGATGTGCTATTCACAAAATTCCAAAAATATAGTGTTTTATGGAAAAGAACAGTGTATATTTGTGTAACAATCATTAACCTCTACGTTTTACAAAATGCTGTTTTTCAAATAATGCATTTGTTCGACCCTTCCATTCATTTATATTTATTCTTGTATTTAATTTATATAACATATGATTAGTATTAAATAAAATTTTCAAAAATGCTTCCACGAAATGGGTTCTTCCAAAATATACAATGTCCTTATAACAAAGCAAATTTATGTCATCGACCTTATTGCCATTATAGACACTCTCCATCAGGTATATTGTTGTTTTATTTGAATGAATATTAAATAAAAGTTATTCAATTAATTATTTATGTTAATCTCCGAACTATACATACTCCAGAATTTTAGTTTTTACATCATATTCGAAATACCAATATTATGACGTGAATACTTGTTATTCTAATATATATGTACCTATTAATATGTTAGTAATCTATTTCAGTGCTCTTCAATATATTTATAATGTCGTATATCTTGGCAAAAAAATGCTCCATTTTAATTTACACATATTTGATTCATAACTACTGTAACTGGAAAAGAATTGCACAGTTAAATACGTTTCATGGATGGGGAACTGATCGACTTTGATCTACATCTTCAAATCAAGAATTAAAAGGATTCCTCTCCAATTTCCTGTAAACTGTTTTCTTACTTCCATTTTGTTTCTGCATCAAAATTTCTAGATTGTTGTAGTACCTAATACATAACTTATATTTATTTAAGTTAGTTGTACATTAGGCTATTTTTGATGGTCTGAGAAACATCTCTGAGGATGATCTAAAGTCATACCATCATAATTTTTATCCTCTTCATAGGGTATGGCTCCCCCACTTAAGTGACCTGACAATCAGCAAGTCTAGCAATTAAAGGTAGTAGAGTTTAACAAAGACCAATACTGTGCATACTCCTGTCCCTTCAAAGACTGATCACAATTGTCATCCACTCACTCATTGACCTTAGCTAGTGATACTTGACTATGGTGATCTATTGGTTGCAAAAAACCCACCTGCCCAATAAAACCCGCCCGTATTTTACTGGGTAAAACCCACTCTGAAAAACCCAGTAAAACCCACCCTAAAGTAGGTTTTACTGGGTTTTTCTAAGATTGATTTCTTTTTTATCCTCTGTTATATTAAAGAGCTATTCTATTGAAATATTTATGTAGTCTAGTCTAAAAAAAATTAACCTATAGTGAAAAAACTAATTACGTTGGAGACTGGAAAGTCACCTTGCTGACTAGATTTGACTGTATGGTCATTGATTATTCAGTGCCATTTATTCGCTTTCTATGCAAATAAAGAAGGTTCCTCAAATATTTTTTAAGATTGAAATACAGTAGGGAACCGATTATCCGGAACAATCGGGACCATCGCTATTCCGGATAACTGATTTTTACAGTTTTTTTAACTCTCTTCAAAAAGCCGTTCTTTTAATTGTTAAACCCAACTAAAAAAAATAAAATATTTGGAAATTATCTTAAAAAGAAGAAAAAATGATGAAGTAATACACTAATGATTATTTCCAAAATGATGGTAAGGTAAACCTCTTTAAAAAAAGAACGAAAAATCCTGAAATCTTATGAGGAAAAAAAAATTTTTTCAAAAAAAATGGCGGGAAAATTTATTGAATTTCGTTCTGGTTTTTTGGTTTTCTGATTTCCGGATAACGGGTTCTGTACTGTATAAATAAAAAGTAATCCAGTGTTAAAATAAGTTTCAAATGTGTGATGTATGTGAGTACATATAACATTTTGTATCGTGATGTCAGAAGAAACTTTTTTCAGACTTTCACATCAATTTATTTCAGGGTTGGCAAGGTTTAGGACAGAATGGATTAATCCACGGTTTAAACCGTCCTGTCCAAAACTGTCTTAAACTGTCCAAAACCCTTTTACTCAAATTATGTCACAATTTTATCTGAACAATATTTAAGAGGCAAAATAAACATAGAACTAATAACATATTGATAATTAAATATACCAGAGAATATTTGTTTTTAAAAGTATAATGTTTTATTAATATTGTTTGACTCTTCAATTTAAACAAAGGGAGATTAATCAGTAATCAAGTTCAATTAGTCCTCTCATTCAATTGTACATAACTACAGTTTGGCCTTGCCATACAGGTTAAAATATTAGGGACTAAGTGCTTGGTTCGTAATAAACAGGTTTATTTATCTATAGTACTATTCAAGAATACTTTTATTTCATTCATGTTCAATTCTTTTAGCATAGTGGTGATACATCACCAGTGTCAGTAACTGAAACTGATGTTATGCTCTTCAAAACTGTTAATACATTTTTCAGTTATTTTGTATTTTCAATTTAAACTAATATATTTATACTTAAAAACAATTTTTTTAAAAATAGATGTCTTTTTTATCATCCTGTGATGCAGAAATTATAAAATTTTTTTAAAAAAATATTGTGAAAAATAAAAGGTTAATTTTTGAACAAATTTAGTATTTTTTTTAAGAAAAATTATTATTTTTTAATATTGCCATATTTATCCTTATGCAAAAATATTATTTATCAGTATTAAAAGCATATTTATATTTAAAGGATTAGGTATTCACTTTTGTTGTTCAATGAATTGTGGAGCTTCAAAAATTATAAACCTTTTCCTATTATATCATATTATTTTCTTTTAATAAGTTATAGTAAATTGTTTAAAAAATATCAAATATTTATTGATACATGTAATTATCATGTGTACAATGGTTACACCTATAGAATTTTTACTTTTTACCAAAGTTCAAGGTTTTGGACACTTTATGAAAGTTTAACCCAGTTTAGGACAGTTTTACCCAGTTTAAGACAGTAAACCCACGTGTCATGTCCAAAACCAGTTTAGGACGTCCAAAACCCCAACCCTGATTTATTTGTATTAATTATCTATATGAAGTCAATTTATAAAATTAAACTTAATTATTAATATTAAAATAAGGTACTTATCCCTGCCTTCTCTTTTGAAAAGGCCCCATGAAAACATGAAACACCCAGAAAAGCCCAATAAAACCCAGAAAAACCCACCCGGGTTGGGTTTTTCTACAAAACCCCGGGTTTTTTGCAATCCTTATTGGGAACTATGTCTTATGATCAGTCTACTGTGGGACGTAAAATTTTTAGGGCTATCCTTGTTAGCAATTGGGAGTGTTAGCTAAATTGGTGGGGATTTTTGAATGGTATCACCATCTTTAATCAAATATGGGGCTGAAATAAAGAAAATTAGAATTTCTTATATTCCTGTAACAGATTTGTAAATTTTATTTTCTAACATTTGTATTATTTTATTCATTTTTTATGTTATCTTATGGTGTTTTGGTGAGTAGAATGAATGAGTTTAAAATCCGTTTCAGTTGCAACTTCTTCTTTTTCTTCCTTCAAAAAATTAGAGTTAACGTGATGTGCAATAAAAGAGAAATCATACTTGATAGCTCCATCATTCTTAATATAATTGACAATATTTAAGATTTCATCTAAATAATGTATTCAACAACCAAGTAACATTAATGAATGCTATTAGTTTATTGGTTATTATTTTATTCATTTTTATGTTGTCTTTGGTGTTTTGGTGAGTGGAATGAATGAGTTTAAAATCCATTTCGGTTGCAACTTCTTCTTTTTCCTCCTTCAAAGAATTAGAGTTAACGTGATGTGCAATAAAAATGAAATCAAACATGGTAGCTTCACCATTCTTAATATAATTGACAATATTTAAGATTTCATCTAAATAAAGTATTCAACAACCAAGTAACATTAATGAATGCTCTTAGTTTATTGATTAATAATCATTCTTAAAAAAATTATGATAGTTTGCTCTTACTGTATGGAAAATGGAGTCAAACATAGCAAGTTGCTACCTTTAATAGCTTAGAGCCTGAACAAGTTTAAATCTGATGCTGTCAAAGCCATGATTGACTGTATTTTGTATCAAAAGTCTAGTAATGAGTTTTATTTTCACCTTTTACATTAAAAAAAAACAACTTAAATTTCATCTTCGAAGAAAGTTCTTATACATGATAACATGATTTCTCCATATCCACTATCCACTTCAAGCATTTTTTTTTCATTGCAATAAAGATCTTCAGTGGCAGAATTTCACTGTAATAATCTTCATTTTTGTATTTGCATTTCATTTTTGCTCGTTATGTAATGTTTCTATGAGTTTTAAAAACATTCATTTTGTTAACTTTATGCTTAACAACTCACTATTTTCATTTTATTATTAATAAACAAGTTCTAGTTGTTTTAATTGTTACCATTTCATTTTCATTGTGTAATTTTTTTGCTAATCTGTGATCATGGAAGAGATTTGCGAATCACCATTGCTATTCAAAATTAATTAAATTAAGGGCTCATTACACTCATTTTTTTAATTGTATTTTCTACTCATATTTTCCTGATTTACAAATTACCCATCTCAATTTTATTCTGCTTTGCAATTTTGAAAGTAAATATCATGATTCATGCGCACAATGTTAAAAATCATGTATTGTGATTCATATTTATGTGATTAAAAATGAAACAATATTCGTGTTTAAGGGATTTTAAAATCACACATCATGATTCGTATTCCCACTAGTCGTATTTACATGATTTAAAGGAAATTGTGATTTGTGTTCATGCTACGTAAAAATTATATCAAGATTCGTATTCACACCATTTAAAAATCAAATGTCACATTCTTATTCACATGATTTAAAAATCAAGCATGTGATTCATATTTATGCAAATTAAATAAAATGAAACATCATGATTCATATTCACTCATTTTAAAAATCACACATCACAATTTGTATTTATGTGATTTGAAATTAAAACAATGTGATTCTTAATGACATAATTTAAAAATCACACACAGTGATTCTTATTATTATGATCTTATAATATCAAACATTGCGACTTATGTTCAATAAATTTAAAGGCTGCTATTATGACTCATGTCCTCTTAACTTTAAATTTCTACATATTGATTTGTATTCATGTGACTTTAAAATCAAACATAGTGAATAATATTTCACGCGTCATGACTCATATATGATTTAAAAATTACTTATCACAATTCATATTTACTCCATTTTAAAATCAAACATCGCAATTTATATTCATGTGATTTAAAAGCCACACATCATGATTCATCATTACGCAATTTAAAAATCAGATATCACACTTATTATTCATGGAATTTATTCTTAAGAGTTGATAATACTATTTCATTAATAAAAAACGAAAGAAGTAAATTTTGTATCTAGCCTACTTACAATTCAAAACATATTTTTAACTTTTATTTTAATGTTCACACAGATAATTCAAATATTTTTTTTTAATTTTTTTATTATTTCCAATGGCAGGCCAATTTAAAAGAACAAAAAGGATAAAATGACAAGAAAAACAAGGCAAAAAGAGATAAATAGAACTAATTCAAATATAATAATTTAAAAATAATAATTTTTAAAAAAAATTATAATTTTTTGATATTATATTTTCCACAATTATCCCTTTATATATTGATGATTATTTTCATAATACCAATTTGCTATTTTTTATAATATTTTGTGATTAAATCATTAAATATTAGTCGAAATGATATTCATTTATTAAAACAATGTAAAGATATTTTTGTTTCGTTTGTAGATCAATCCTTTTTTCCTGGCATTGCTTATTTTAGCAGTGTAATCTCAAACTTTGATTCTAAGCTTATGTATTTTGAACTTTTAAAATGTACATTCTTTCTTGTATATGCAACTAAAAATTAATTAATTGCTATTATTAAATGTCAGGTAGTATAATTTATTTACCAAATATAATCAGATACGTGTAATCAATGTAATAATTTATACCCATTTGTAATCAATTATACCCGTAACTAGAAATGTTTGTTGAGAAGAAGCTATATTTTTACTGAGACAAATAAACTATTTTACTGTAGACGAAGACAAAATGCTATTTCTGCTATGACATCTATTTTTGTCATATCATTCTTGTTATTAATGTTACAAATTTGAACGGTTTAGCTAACTAAAATAATTCTTATTAATTAGAGAGAAGATTTGATATCTTCTGATTTTGAAAAATTTTCTTTCAGCAAATGAAATAATATAATGTAGGGCTGCTCCTCCGGTGAACCTAAGGTCACGTGCGACCTGTCAACTGTTGGTTAATGCATTTTTTTTTTTTGCACTTTCACTCTGTATGCTCTGCAGTTTTTTTTCTTTGATTAGAATTTATATCTCCCCTCTTTCTATATACACTCATGGACAAAAAAAATAACGCACCAAGAAGGAGTCGTCAAAAGGAAACAAAATTTTACTTATGTAGTGACTACTTTGATATAAGTAAATGATTAGAAAATCAAAGAAAAAGGATAATTTATTTCAGAGAAAAAGGCAAGAGAACGGAGGAGTTAATACCCCGTTGGACCTTGGCTGTAACCTTGCCTCTAGTTCGTTCAAACTTATGGGATGCCCAACTCACCGACCCAAATGATCCCAGATATACTTGATTGGAGACAAATCTGGGGATCGGGCAGGCCAAGGAAGGGTAGTAACAGTACGGAGACAGTCTTGTGACACCTTTGCCGTATGAGGCCAAGCATTGTCTTGTTGAAAAATGGCTCCTGGGAGTAAATAAATAAATAAAACTTGTGATTCTTCTTCATTCCTCTCTTTTTTCTTTTTGTCTTTTTTGTAAAAACGTAGTACTTAGAACACTAATGTTTATATAAAAATTATCATATTATATAAAAAATATTATTTGCCCCTAACATGACTAAATACGCATGCGGTCCTTTTTTAATCTGCTTACTGTGCAAGTGCCATATATTGCGCACCCCTTATATAATGGGCAACTAATTACCATTCTATTTTGTGACATAGCAAAGTTAAGTGTTAAGCAAGCTTACAATCAAAATGTAAATATTTGCCTCGACTTCATCAAAATTTAAACAAATACCAATTTTGAATCATGCTTGTTCTTCTCCAAAGCATCTTATGTAACAGAACAGGTTGAACTTCTTTCTTTGATTAGCAGCAAAACTTGAGGCGAATATTTACATATAGTCAAGAGACTCTACACCATTCTAATCTTGTATTACAAGTTAACTTTTCCTTCTCTTTAAGGTTTTAAAAATTACACTCCAAGGCTCATTTGAATTTTACTTTATGTTTAAACTTGTATGATGTAAAGTGTTAAAACATGTGTACTCAAATTTTTTAATTATAGTATTTAATTTTCTTTTTCAGGGCTTGCTGAAGAAAAACAAAGCAGTGTTAGTTCATCCTATTTATATAACAAGGATTTAACCTCTAATTCCAGAAATCAGGAACAAATAGGCAATTGTTCAACGCCTGGTGAAACAGATAATGGCTATGTACCTACACCTGTCATCAAGCCTGCAGGTATTTTGAAAGCCATTACTTATTCTGATAGAGCTTCTTATTCAGTTCCTGAGTATAAGCCTACACCTATATCTAAATTAAGGGAGCTTAATATTCCAACTGGACCAGATTATGACGATTATCCACCAGAGTATCCTTCTGGATCAGTCCGGAAAAAGAAAAACATTGAAGAATATGATCCAACAGAAATTAAATGCATTTCAAAAAAGAGTGTTTCATTTGCAGATGAAACTGAAGGAGGATTACTTACATGTGAATCTGCCTTTAGTTCTGATGATGATTTTGATGATACAGCAAGTGCGCCTAAATTTAGTGATGATGAATGTGAAGAAAATGGTAATTCCGAGCGTTCTCTTCCGCTGCCTTCTCAGCCAAAGCTTGCTTCTATTCCATTACAGAAAGTGGAGTCAGAAGAAAGTGATATAGATGATAAAAAAGTTGATGAGTTTTCTCTGGTTGATAAAATTTTAATTGAAACAAAGAGAAATGAAAAGTTATTGAAATTTCATAAAAAAGACACAACTACTTCTAAGCCTCTACCCCAACCTACTAAACCATCACTTATTCTGAAAGGAAATGACCCGAAAAGGAATGCTGCACAAAAAGAAAAAATTCTAAACAACAATGATATTTATAATATGGATGATAACTCCCAAAGTTCTGTTCCAGATTATTCAGCATTTGATTCTTTAGTACCTCCTATTGAAATCGATTCACTTATTAAAAGTAAATACGATAAGAAAACTTTTGATAGTGAAATTGCTTCATATAATTCTCCAACACAAGGTGAAAGGGAAAAAGATCTCTTAGAAAATTCCAATTCAAAAGACAATTTAGATAAAGATTCAGTATCTGAATCATCTAAACAAAGTTTGAAACCAAAAAGATCTGATTTAAAAATTAAAGGTGAAAGTGTAAAATCTGATAATAAAATTAAAGATAAAAAGAAAGAATTATTAAAGACGCAATCGTCAAATTCTGAAAAGAAACATTCTAAAAGTATTGATGATAAGAAAGAAAAAAGTGCAAAAAAAGATGGTTCTAAGAAAATTCCAGAGAAAACAAAAGATTCTCTGAAAGACTCTAAAAGTTCTAAAAAATCAGATAGTAAAATAAGTGATTCGTCAAAAAGGACTAGTGAATCAAAAAATTCTTCTAATAAAGATAGTCATAAAAATAAAGATTCATTAAAAAAGAGCAAGGAAACTACAACAGACTCTATGAAAAAAGAAAAACATAAGGCAAAAGAATCTGTCAAGAAAAACGAGGAAAGAATTAAACTGAAAATAAGTTTAAATAGTAATAATGGTGAAAAATCATTGTCTAAGGAAAAAACCAAAAATAAAATTAAACAAACGGATTTTGATAAAGACATTTATAACTGTTCTATTTCTAGTTCTAGTGAGGTTGAATTGCAAGATGGAAAAGTTAGTAGTAGTTCTGTTGAGAAAAAGAATAAATCTAGTGCTAGTTTAAAAAATTCAAAGTCATTAAGTGCACCTAATGAATCTAAATCTAAACACAATGAGGATTCAAAATTATCTAAAAAGCCTTTTAAAAGGAAAGATTTTTCAGATAGTGAGTCTGAAAGAACTCTTTCTAAAAATAAACATGCTTCAAAAAAATCAAAATCTAGTTTTACCAATACTGATAGTTCTAATGAAGATACAAGCTGTGATGAGCATGTTATCCATAAAAAGAAACCAAAATTGAATATGAAAAACTCGCAAGGGGAAAGGATTGAAGTTATTACTTTTAGTTCTTCTGAGAATGATTCTGATAGTGCTGTCAATAAATCCCTTAAAAAAAAGACATCAAAACACAGAAACAGTCCACCACCTAAAAAACAAGTCAGCTCTAAAACCAACAGTATTGATGATGACATTATTATTTCTTCAGATTCAGATTGTGATCCTAATGAAGAGTGCTGGAAAATTTATAATGAAACATTTAATGAAAATTCTAATGACGCTGCAAATTTTCCAAAAGAGGTAATTTTTATTTGTATTGTTTAAAAATCCTTTTATTGTGATTTTATCTGTTAAAAATAGTTCAAACACAAATTAAAAGCAGCAGTTTCCAAATGGGGTTCCATGGCACCTTAGGGTTCAGTGGTAATTATATTTATTTCTAAACAATAAACCATAATTTTTTTGATATATTAGCTATTTTTATAAAATTATTTAAGTAAAATGCCAGCAAAAATGAAATAGCAAAACTTATTAAAAACTTCATCAGTTCTTGTAGAACTTTTAAATTCAAGAAAAATGAATTATGCTTCTCTAATAACTATTCTCAACATCTATAAGATTTCTTTTTCAAGCACTTTAATTCAGCTTATTTTGTTCATTTGCAGCTAATGTATGCACCAAAAAAAATTCATCATTAGTCTAGATTCTACTCTAGGCCTGCGAATTAAACTATTTGACATTATTATTTTAAGAGTTTTGTTGAAAAAAAGTTCTTTAATCACATTAAATATTATCAAAATAATTAGTAATCTTTCTTTGGTTAGTATGTCAACGACTACTAATAAATTTTATTTATATATTTAGGGTTGCGCCAAAAAGATGCTCAATAATTTAGGTAGCTGTAGAAAATAGGGAACCGTTGCTCTTGAACTCAATTACATCACTTGATTCTAAGTATAGTAAACTTCTAAAAAGTGATGGCTATAAGCAATGGGATAATTTTAATTAAATCAAAATCTTTTTCTAATAATATTCTTGTGATTTGGTTTAAGAATCGGTTGATATATTTTTACTGGCCAATTAACTGAACATAATTATAATTGTGATTAATGAAATCAATCGCAATAACACAATAACTTAAAGGAATGATTTTCTAATTCATCAATGTTCTCATTCAAAGAACCACTAACCATGACAAATTTATTAATCATAACTCTTAATCAATATTAATTAAGTTTAACTCTATATGGTAATAATTCCTCCATTCCTTTTCTACTATTTAATGTTGCAACATAATTTTTTTTAGGAATCTGCTAAAGTGACAACTGTTAGAGATGCAATGGACTTAAAGAAGAAACGATTTGCACATGCAGCAGCTACTACAATAAAAAAGGTAATTTCGTTTGAAGTTTTAATTAAAGTTTATGTGAACTGTCATCGTCATCATAGTTGGCCAGCCTGACCAATCTGGGCCTTACTCCATCATTCCAATTTTAGAGACTTATACATATTTATTTTTTGAGTGTTATACTATTCTAGATTATTATTTTTTTATGACTATCTAGTTATGTAATATATATATTAAAAGAAAGTGTAATACTTAATTTCTGAAGAAATAATTTGATCTTAAAGCATACAATAAAAGAAGGTTAGTTATTATAGTCAAAAGATCTAATTTATGGGGATTAGAAAAACCAAGTAAACTTTTAACAAGAAATTGATTATAATATGGACCCTTTTCCTCCTTAGGTACTCCTGCTGGTACTTACATTAAATGATTTAATCATTCAGTAAGCAGTATTATTTTGTATTTGTACTTCATTTCAATATTTTTTTATTTTATTTCTTTAGATTGTTAAATGTGATTACTTGCAAAGTAATCAGTAGCACATTTTTTCTTTTGGTTCGTAAAAATAATTTCATAATTTGTGAAATTCTCCCTTTTCATTTTTAATGGAATTAATGATTAAAAATCAAAAGAGGGAATTCACTGAAAAATTGACATCAATCAATCCCTGTATTTAGATTTTTAAGTGTGAAAAAAAAAAACAGTTAGGAAAAAAAATTAAATCATCTCTGGATATTGCTGTGATTCTTTAAGCAAGAAGTTTTTTCTATCTGTGACCAAGTTTAATGTGTTAAAATTTATATTTATCTATTATATATAATTCTCTTGCGTGGCTCCCAAATTTTGGCTGTATTTCTTTTCCGCCGGTGGCAACATTTGCTTTGTTTTGTTTACGTTACTATTTCTCTTACACGGCGAATCGACCAATGATTNAAAAGTTTTCGGAACTTCAGTATTCAAAAAAGTATACAAAAACTAGACGTTAAGAACGTATCCAATGAGCGAGCAAAGCGAGCATTGGATTGCGAAGCAATCCGAAATGAACTGTGAAAGCAGTTCCGGGGGTTGGTGAGCGCCAACGAGCAGGGGGCTAAGCCTCCTTGAATTTATTGCATTATTAAGAAGTTAAGCGCACTGATATTATTTTATTTTTATTTTAATTAAATATAACACTTATAAATATTAAACTTTAGTACATACTTTTTTATAAATATTTTTATTTATTATTGTAGCCAAAATTTTCATCTAACAAAATTAGACCAATCGTTAATCCTGGACAAGCCATGCACAATCGATATGCTCAAATAATGAAAATGCGAGAAGAAAATAATGAATTGAAGGTGAGTCATTTCGTTCTGCTGTTCACTTGCTTTTGCACTTCTTTAATATTAATATGTTACCTATATTAAGAATTCAAATTATTCTATAAGTCATGGTTTTACTATGATTGTTCATTAAAGACTCTGTGCCTTGTTTAATAGGAGTAAAATGAGCACACTTCATAGTAATGTTTTGTGACTTTGTTAAATGAATCCAGTTCAATGAAATAATGATTGAACAAAATTTAAATTATTAACTATGATATTGTTTAAGGGTTTCTAGATGGAATTTTATTTTATTATCATTTTAATTCTATTTGAATTTGTGAGATTTAAGTATGTAGAAGCCTACAAGTATTCATTAGATTTCTGGTTTCATTTCACAATGTATCTGGTATCAATTTCTTTATTCTGTGCCAATTTTACTTTAATTTGTAATCGATTTATTTTAAAGATTCAAATTGATTATCATTTTGATAAAGTTTATTTTAGATGTATATTTTATAAAACTTATTTTATTGAAAATTCTTATTTGATAGAACTTATTTTATTGAATATTTATATTGGATAGAACTTATTTTATTGATATTAGTTTTCGATAGAACTTAAATTTATATTTGATATATTGTATTTCGAATTACTCTTGATAAAACATTCAATAAAACTTAATACTTATATTCAATATTTTGTTATATTTGATAAAACATTTAAAAAAAACATGTTTTAAATTTCTTTTTTTTTTTGTCACCACAGAAAAACGGTTAAATGATTTTAGAAACATGAATACAAAATTTTAGATTAACTACTAACTATTTTTCATAAAGTGTGTGAATCTAGTAAAAATGTATGCAAATTTTCCAGTTAAAATTGTTTTTTTTTTTTTCAATTGTAAAATAAAAGATTTCTCCAGCTATTCTTAGGTTTTTTTTCCTCTCATAAGTTGTAAAATTATGGGAGGAATTGGAAAAAATTGGAAAATTAAAAAAGTTACTAAAATCAAGAAATGAACACATTTATCATCCATTAATTTTTCAAATTTATACTCCAAAATGTCTCTTTCTACTCTTTTAATATTTTCTGCAAAATTTTGTAATTTTTATTCGTGTATATATTTTTTATCTCACCAGAGAGAAGAAAAAATCTGAAATTACAGTGTGAAAACTTACATAATTTGATTTTGCACTTTTTTTTGTAATAGTTGGGTCGAAAACAGTTCTTATCTTCTGCCCTACTCTGTTTTGCGTATCGACATTTTTGACCATGTTTACATTCTTGGATTTTGTTGTAAAAGCTTTTATTCTGTAAACAATATTTTCATTAGTCACTGTTTGTGCTTAATTAGTATAATAATTTCTTGGCTTTATACAAAAGCTGTTGAAGCTATTTCAACTCCCTAACTTTTTTAGAATAACTGTTTGAATTAGCTGCATTGTTGGTTTCTGTGAACTGAGCATACTGATATAATATTTTATGCTGAAAAAATAATAAGTTTGTTGCCTTTTGGAAAGGTATCTAAAAACTCATTTTATTAAATTAATTCTAAAAAAATGAATGCTAATAATGATGAAGTATTATAGATTTATCCTTGATATGTTTTTTAACCTTTTAAAAAATTTTAAAGTTTTAAAAAGTATGATTGACCTGTAACTGCAAATTTAAATCCTTAATAAATGAATACATTTAATGAAATTAAATACTTAACTTTTTGGTTATGGCTGGTACAACAATTGAATAAAAATAAGAGTGTTTAGCATGCTAACACCACATTTAAAGGATTAATAAACAATAAGAAGGATAAATTTATGATTAAGAGAATGTGTTTAAGGAAATGGAGAAGATAATTACTTTGAAATTCAGCTTAAAACTATGCATTAAAAAGCAAAAAAATTAGAAAATAATAATAAATAAATAAAAAAAAATAAAATGACTAAAAAATTTTTTAAATCTGTAACATGGTGGGTTGCCTAAAAATTATTTTTCCTTTTTATTCAGAAGCTTAAAAATCTTCATTTCATGTATTTCAAAAGGAAAAAAGTATTGTTCTAGTACATATGAATTTGAATGATGCATATTAAAATGCCAGATATGTTTTTAAAGAAGCAAAATTAAAAAATAAAGGGACAAACTTTTACCGAGTTAAAGTAAAAGTTCTTTATGAGAAATTTTGTATGCATGAAATTTCATAAATTTTGATAAGGCTGCAAAACTGGATTGATTAGAAATGATTGCGTAAATAAAAATATAACTCACTAATGGTAATTCATATTTTCAGATTCAAGCTCAGCCTTTAATTTCTGGTGGTAAAACTGGCATAAGAATAGCAGTAGCTCCCAATAGTAGCCTTCTTGCAGCAATAAATGAAAAGAAAAAACATAGTCAAGGTTTAACTGATTTTTCACCTCTTCCTTCAACTGTATCCAAAACTTTGAAGCCCTCGAAACGAATTGCTCATGTTCCTGATATGGTGAGATTTCAACTCTCTTTTTTAATTTTCAAGTAAAATTAATATTTTTAGTAAATTATCTTTTTCATATCTTTTTTTTTTTCTTTTAAAATAATTGAAATTATAGATATTGAATCTGTTGAAAATATTGATATCATATCCGAAACTTAATATACGAAGTACAATTTTGCCACAATCAATGAATTAATGCTTTTTTTTGATTAGAGAAATAATTTTCCCTGGAGTATTCTACATGAGAAGTTTGTTTGGTAAAGAAATGTTTCTACAAGTGTGATTTACTAGCATGACTGTTAAAAGTTGTTATAGATATAAATTTGAAAAAATATTCACTCCAGTTGCTTTTTTGCTTTTTTAATAATTCAAATTTTTCTTAATTAAATAAAAAAAAATATTACTACTTATAATTTTTACACTCTAAATTATTAAAAAAAAGAAATGTACAGTAATTTTTTATTCTTCTAAAATTTTCAGTTTATATTTTATTTGAACTCCCTTCTAAAATCAACTGAATTTTTAATGAATTAAGTTAGAGAATATATTAATCTATCTTTAAAGAAGTAAATTTTTATTACTATTCAAAATTATGAGTTAACATAAAAAAAAACATTTTAAATTCAAGTTAATTTAATATAAATCATACGTGAAAAGAAAAACTACAAACCATTTATGGTTTAATAGTGTAATAAAATGATTGTATTTTGTTGATTTTAAAATCCGCTAAGTTTCCTGTGTGTAGAATATATGGTATATTATGCAACAGTTATCATTAAATTTATATTATTTTGTAAAATCTACTGGATTTTCTCCTATCCATGTTGGCAGCTATGGTTATATTAATTAAACAGTTTTATACACTTTTAAATTAATGGAATAACTGAAAATTAAAAAATGTATAAGTCTTAAACAGTCTATAAGCAAACAAGTATTTTCAGAGATTAAGATTTTATTTTAGAATTATTCTTTATTTTTCAAAAGTCAAATTAAAAAACATTATTTGGAATTTTCAAAAATCATCACTTCTCTTTTGCTTATATATCCCCAGATTGGCAAACGAGTATTAATGACTTGAAACTTGTAAATTGAATAAGTTTAGTTATTAAAAATGCCTTTTCTTTTTCTCCTCTCAATAATATTTTAAACTTGTTTTTTAAATCTGAGATGAAAAATAATCTGCAAATGCTTTAATTGTCTGCAGTGCCCGCTGCCCTCCTGGCGAACTTCTACTCTTCTCTTATTGTTACAATTTAATAAGATGGATAGGAAGCATATTTGTAGATTCACTGTTGAAATGAGAATAGTAGTCTAGAAAATCAAATTCAAGTCTTAATATAATTTTAAAAAGTTAAGGATAGGTCCATGCTAGTAATATGAATAGAATTGGTGAAGTATATTTGAGGATGAAAATACTTTCAAACTTAAGTAATAAAAGTCTTTCAAGCTTAAGTCTCATTAAAGATTAATACAATGTAGTGCAAGCAGAAAATATTTCAAGGAGTTTAAAATTGAAAAATAAACTTTTTTGTTGTTGTTATTCCATGAATTGGATTTATCGATTATTATATTTTAATACTATTTTACGAATGTTAAAGTAAAATGTAGTATTTATATTGTTAATTAAAATATTTCAGTAAAGTAATATTTATTAGCTCGCAAAAATTGATGAGTAATTTGCATAATATATCTCCTTATTTGATTGAATCTTTGTGTAAAATATTTTGCACTGAGTAAATATTCTTTTCCTAGGTTGCTAAGCCTAGACCAATTATTCCAGCAGATTATGGCAGTAAAGTTCCTACAAATATTAGGCAAAAGTTTTTAAATACTTTCATTGATGAATTTTTGAAGTTTACTTCTAATGAAGAAGATGCTTATGAAGAAGTTTGTATATTTTATCTATTTTCATTCCATAAAGTTATTTATTTATACTCTTGGGAAAAAATGCTCTTTTTTTTCTGTCGTATAAAAACCAAAACAGGATATTGAGTCAAATATAATTGGTGAGATGATTTTAAAATGTTTTGTTTTGGATGTACTCAGAAGATCATTTATGGGCGTATTAAGTTAATAACTGAAGTAATTTTAAATAGCATTTTCAAGCTTATTTTTCTATCATTTTGTTCCATTTATCTTACTATATACGAGATAGAGTCAAAAAGTTTCCAGAATAGATCAATTACAAATTATTAAAAAATAGAACTGTAATTTTACTTTATTAATCTTCAAAGTACTTTCCTCTTGGAATTAATTTTTTGAGAGTCCTTCATTTGCTTTGTTGCATTTTTGATCACCTCATAGGAATCCATATAACTGTGTCCTTTCAATTCCATTTTCAGTTGTGGAAATAGGTAAAATCCACAGGGACTAGGTCTGGAGAATAAGGAGGGTCGTCCAGAGTGGTAACTCTGTGTCTGGCAAGGTACTTTTTCACAATCAGAGCCCAATGTGGTAGAGCATTGTTTTATAAAACAAATTGTTTGCTGCCCGTTCTGCAGGTTTTTTTCGTCTAATTGCATCTCATTGTCATTTAAGAATCTCCAAGTAAGACACTTTACTGACACTTAGGTCTTCAGAATAAATTCATAGTGAATGACGCCCTCGTATTCGAAAAGAAACCTCTAACGTCACTTTCCCTCGGATTTTGTCCTAGCTAGCTAAATTTATCCTTCTTGGGGATGTTTTTGCTTTACATCCACTTGATTGACGCTTTGTCTGAAGGCGGTAAAGAAAGCATCATGTTCCATCACCTTTTGTGATTTTCTTCAGAAAGCTGTCTTCAAATCCTTGCACATTCACTTCTTTTTGTTCAGGTGATAACATTTTTGGAAACATGTTGCAAGTTCAAATCATCATAAAGAATGCTGTGAACACTGGCATGAAATTCCTAGTTCAGGAGTTATGTCATCAATAGATATTCGTCTATCTGTAGCACAATTTCTCGAACACGCCCAATATTTTCATTTGCCGTAGAAGACGAATGGCGCACAAGCATTGAATGGCTGTTCAATGTTTGTGCGACCTTCATGGAGATGCTTGTGCCACTCGTACACAGCCTAGACTGATTATTCCAGCAGATTATGGCAGTAAAGTTCCTACAAATATTAGGCAAAAGTTTCTAAATATTTTCATTGATGAATTTTTGAAGTTTACCTCTAATGAAGAAGTTTGTATATTTTATCTATTATACGAGCCTTTTTTTGATGGCATCGTTTCCGTATACTTTTTTTAGCAACTTGAGAATCTCAGAGGGAGATTTCTTGAACAAAATGCAGAATTAGATGTTTGCACGCTGCTCTAAAGATGACATTTCAAAGTTTGGCAAATGGAAAATTCTGTTTGTCGGAAATTATCTGCAGCTAATGTTGGCTGTACCAGAGAAAAATTCCAAATGGCTGTAGGTTTTTTATGTGCTGCCTACCTCTGAAAAAAGTATTTCTCCTCCAGCAAACACCTGCATGAATGTAGGCGACCATTCTGAGAATTTAGACTCTATCTCGTATTTTAAATATCTTTTTTTATTGTATACTTTATGAAAACTTTGTGCCAATATATTCATGGAATAAAACTGTTTTCATCTTATCATTGGAATAGTAAGATATATATACAGTGAAACCTCCGATAAGCGGACATTCATGGGACCAAAAATTTTGTCCGTTTATGAGAGTTGTCCGTTTATGGGAAGGGTACCCTAATAACGAAATTTAACACCGTAAATTGTTTTTAGAATATTCTCAAANATATATATATTATTTTAATTATTGTATTACAATAATATATAATATATATTATTTTTTATTATTGTAATTACCGTAATTTTTTAAAATTTAAATTTGTTTTGCATTAGGAAAACTAAGTATCACAGAAGATTCAACAGACACAAGAAAAAAACTGAAAGTTTAAAAACTTAGAAGTTTTAAGATTTATTTGTTGATTTATTATTAATTCCTATTTTGTAAAATTTATGTTAATGCGTGAAATGATTGTTAAAAACATTTTCTAACTGAATAAAAAGTTTTAAGTGAAAAGTCAGGAGTTTTTTTTTAATTTGAATAAGCTCCAAATTCTTTTAACTGATTCATTAGCAAAGGAGNTTGAGAGGCGTCCGTTTTGCAGGAGTGTCCATAACAGGAGGTTTCACTGTATATTATTTTAATTATTGTATTACAATAATATATAATATACATTATTTTTTATTATTGTAATTACCGTAATTTTTTAAAATTTAAATTTGTTTTGGATTAGAAAAACTAAGTATCACAGAAGATTCAACAGACATAAGAAAAAAACTGAAAGTTTAAAAACTAAGAAGTTTTAAGATTTAATTGTTGATTTATTATTAATTCCTATTTTGTAAAATTTATGTTAATGCGTGAAATGATTGTTAAAAACATTTTCTAACTGAATAAAAAGTTTTAAGTGAAAAGTCAGGAGTTTTTTTTTAATTTGAATAAGCTCCAAATTCTTTTAACTGATTCATTAGCAAAGGAGCTTCCTTATTAAGAAAGCAGCTTCCTCGCATTCTAAATTAGTGCCGACTTTTTTAAGCATACTATTATATATTTTTTGTTTCTTTCAGTAATTAGGTTTAGAATGAGAAAAGCACACAATATTAATTCTAAAAAGTTTGTTTTAATAATTTAAGTCTGTTATTATCTAGCATTTATTAAACATTGCTTAAATAGTAAAGGAAGTGATTAAGTGTAATTTAAAAGTGTAAAAATGTTATTTTTATAGTAGTCTATTGACTATTTGTTTAAAAATTTTAATATGTATTTTTAAATAAAAAAATGTTTTTATACCACAGCTGGCTTCATAAATATTTACTTTTAATTATTGATTTCAGGCATTGGAAGAAGAAAAAAAAGCTTTTCAGCGAAGTTCAAGCAAAGCTATTTATATGAATGTAGCTTCTAATACTTTAGCTAGGTTACGCCATAGAACTGCTGAATCTTCAGAAACAAAAAAGAGTGATAACGTGTCCTCAACTACAACCAAAAGTAATAAAAAATCTGTGTCCCATCAAACAGTTCTTAATGGTCCCATGGCACAAAGGACTAGTTTCAGCATTGAAAAGAAAAAACCACCACCTGTTCCTGATCTTAAAGGTTCTTTCCCATTTTTATTTATTTCATTTTAATAAAACTCATGATTTTGGTTTACATTAGATTATGTCAATGCAACTGTCAATTCTTTTGCAGTGTTTATATATATATATATATTTAGGTTGTGATCTATTCATACTTTGTATTCATAATGTATAGCTATATAGAAAAGTATTATGAAAATTAGTATTTTTGTATTTATAATATAGTAGGTCCTAGTTATACCAATCGCCCATTTACAAAGATTATGGTTTTAATGAGGAAAATTAGTCTTTTGTTTAATACAATATTATAAATGTATTAACATTTATATTTTTGGAAGCAATTTCTTTCTGATTTAAAAAAAAAAAAAAGAAATAATTTTGAAAGCACGGTTTAGACAACTTTAGTTGCAAGTAAAATGGGTGAATTTCAAAAGAGGATAGTGTTTTGAAAAAAATAAAATGACTCTGATTGCAACAAAAGAACATTTATCAATTTAAAATGCCAATAACTTCACCAATGTTGCTGAGGATGTTGAGTATACTCTGTAGAGGGAAAATGGTGAAAGCATGTGAAAAAGCAAGTGGACTCGTTATGGTTTTGAAAGATAACTACGAAACCATGAAGTTTTTTGAAGCTGTAGAAAATTCAGTACATGAATTTTCTTCATGATGAAAAAAAAATTTTTTGATAAAAATGATAAAAAATTTTTTTGAAATGAACAATCAGTTTTAGGAGGATTTTCACTTCTCAATAAATAATATCAATTCAATTTGCATAAACTTAATTATTTTTTTTTTTAAAATTCTAACTTTGAATTTGGATTTTGTGAGTGAACGCCAACCAGATTTTACAAGCACTTTTCTGTTTCGTGAGTACTCCATTAAATACAGGTGTCATTGTATGTACCAATAGTAATTTAATCTCTTTTGATAGTTACATTGGGTAACTAACCCTTTGGTTGTACAGCAACTTAGTTATCCTTCTGGAGGATCCTTACCCAGTAGGATGCTTATAACCTATTAAATCTATGATGATGATTATTATGATTATCTATAATCGTATAATCATATATAGATAATCTATTATTATGATTATCTATAATTGGAAGCTATAGCAATCAATAAAATTTCATAAATTGTGATATCTAATTTGTAAATAACCTCACCAGAAATTATATCGTAAATTATATGAATTCAATATTTAATTCATGAATTGTGCGAATTCAAATTAGTATGTGTAATTTGTAAGTTTCCTGAATGAGTAAGAATCATGATGTGATATTTGTAAACCATGGAAATATAAATTGTAGTGAATGGCAACCATTTTATCTCGCAGTTTATAAGAATCCACTTCGCATTAAAGTTACAGAAAAGTAAAATTTTCAAGTTCTGTATCCTTCGTTATATATGTTGACCTCTGATATATTGTAGTTTTTTTTTTATTCCTAAGAAATATAAAATAGTATGTGTCCACCATTAGAGAGGATTAAAGGCCAAATTATGATAAAATTCCATTAGTTGAAATAGGGATTTTTTTAGATGCTTTTTCTATAGAGGAAGATGTGGTAGATGAGGGGAAAAAGCTTCACTCTAATGGCTTTTTCAACACAATGACATCAGCATGTCAAAATAGTCTCTTCATAGGTCAATCTTCCTTTTTATGGAATATGAATTGTATTGAGAGGTTTCTGTTCCATCTTGCCTTATGGTAGTTTTTCCATTTTTAATAAATTTTCTATATTTAATAACTTCTATTTTTTTTCACTGTTCTTTATTTTTAATTATTTTTTATACTTTTCAAAAATATATAAGTTAAGTTTGTTTTTCTGATATACTTTTAGTCTCAGCTGTGTTTATCTATGAAGATCTTATTGTATTTGTTATTTATAAACATAATTAGGTGATTCACTTAATTTTATTTGTATATTAATACATAGTTATTCTTCTTCATTTGGATCGATATGTTAGTTACATGACTGTTTTACAGGCACAGCATTGTATGAATATCTTTTATCGTTTGCCCTGACAGAAGATCAATTAAGAGAAAATGGGTTCCCTATGGCACATCCTACAGAAACTGGAAGAGCTGTAATTGATGGCATTTATGCAAATAAATCTCGATATTGCAATGACCGTAAGTATAAGTTGCTGTTATTGTTGTATTTTATTTTAAGATAATTTTATGCTTATTATTTTTTTCAAACTTTTCCTCTCTTCCTTTTATGTTGGCTTAAACTATTTTTAATGGATATTGTTATTCTCATTTTTATTATTTTACCTGTGCAAATGCATGAATATTTCAACAAAAATACTGAAATATTTTAATACTAAATCAGAATAAAGTAGAATTTTCTGTGTTTGATTAAAATTATTTAATAATTTATTTAATGCTAAAAAAATTTGACAATATATAATTTTATCAGGTTAAGTGTCCTTAGTGAAGCTTTAATTTTCTCTTGTTATTCAATAATCTAGTGTTGTCTAGAAATTTTAATTTTCTTTGACTTTTCTTCCCAAAAAAGTTTTATCTGTTAAATATTAAATATAAATAAATAATACATGGCATCTCAGAATGTTGTTGAGTAATTATGTAACAAATAAAGCAAAATCATCTTATTCCTAGCATTTGAGTGTTACATATATTTTTACTTGATTTGAGACAAACCTTCTCCAATTTTTACAATATTTTTTAAGTAAAAAATATTAGAAACAAGACTAAATATTACACATTTATTTTTAAAAACTAGTAAAGAGCAACATACATTTTAAAGAATTTGAATTTTCGAAAATCAATTTACTATTGAAAAAACCCTAATATTCATGGAAAAAATGTGATTTGTAAGTTTAACAATCTAGTGCATTTTATGTTTCAATTAAAAGAAAAAAAANTGTGTGCAAAAACTTTTAATTCTATATCAAAATAGATAAGTTAAGCTAAAAAAAAATTAGAAAATCCATGTACTCATTGGAATTTTTTTTCACAAAATTTCGTTGTAGAAAATCAGATAATGTCAAAGATACTGTAAACATATTATGAGAAAAAAATACCAGTTAATAACCCTACTGCATCAAATAGACTTTGAAAGTGTTTGAAAGGGAAGAATGACACTATATTAGGAAAAAAAACATCTGAAATTATCTGCCCTTTTTTTTTCTTTTTCTGTTTTTGGCATATTAGGGTAATTTCTTTTTAATATAACCTCAAGCTTCAGAAATATACATTTTCCACCAATAAAATATGATGTAGATTTTAATTCACGCTTTTTCATTCAAAAGGTAAAATTTTAATTAACATTATTTGCATTATTTTTTGAAAAAAATTCATGTTTATTAATTACTTTCTACAGCTATGCAAGTCTATATTAAGACAGCATTAAATGTTTACTTTAATCTGTACTTTCAATCTCAAGAATCAAAAAATTTTTAGAAATGTAATTTCAAATGTGTTGGAATTTAACACACACCAAGAAAGTAATTTCGTTAACTAAAATTAATTAATGCAGCAATTTATTTAAATTAAATTTTAATACTAAGAAGAAAAAATAATAAAAGTATCAAAAATTTAAAACACTGTTTTTTGACTTTTAAAATCAATATATATAGATAAAAAAAATTAATTGATTTGAATCAATGATTTTTTTAAAAAAATCATTTGATTTAAATCATGATTTAAATCAAGCTGATTTAAATCAACGAACCCTGGTGCAAATGCATGAATATATCAACAAAAATACTGAAATATTTTAATACTAAATCAAAATAAAGTAGAATTTTCTGTGTTTGATTAAAATTATTTAATAATTTATTTAATGCCAGTAAAAGTTGATCATCATATAATTTTATCAGGTTAATTGTCCTAAGTGGAGCTTTAATTTTCTCTTGTTATTCAGTAATCTAGTGTCATCTAGACATTTTAATTTTCCTTAACTTTTCTTCCTAAATAATTTATAAATGTTAATTATTAAATATAAATAAATAATGCATGTCATGTCAGAATGTTGATGAGCAATTATGTAACAAATAAAACAAAAGCCTTTAATTCCTAGCATTTGAGTGTTACATATATTTTTACTTGATTTGAGACAAACCCTTGCCAATTTTTACAATATTTTTTTGGTACAAATATTACAAACAAGACTAAATATTACACATTTATTTGTAACAACTAGTAAAAAGCAACATATATTTTAAAGAATTAGAATTTTTGGAAATCAATTTATTAAACCCTAATATTCATGGAAAACATGTGATTTTTAAGTTGAACAATCTCGTGTATTTTATGTTTCAATAAAAGAAAAAAACTTATAATATCCAATAAAATTTTATTTATAAAAGTTAATTATGATTTGCAACAACAGAAATTAGATTTTTAGCATAAAAAGTATGATTGAATTACAGTTCACTATGTTTATAAGATTTATGTACCTTTTTTGCTTTAGCAGGAGAGAAGTCATTAAGGTTTTTCAAAAATTTTAGATGATATATATAATGTCATATAAGTATAAAACTTTTAATTGTTTATTTGGCTCAAAATAGTAATATAAAACTGAGTATAAAAAATCACTTTCTGTGCTCTTTTTTTATGTACTGTTTCAAAACACTAAAAAATCTTAAAATTTTTTTGAATAAATTTTTACAATTAAATAATGTTATAAATTTTAGTTTACTTAGAAAAACCTTGCCATAAAAAAACAAAACAAGAAAAAACATTAAAGCAACTAATATCGTTGCCCTCTATGCGATGCCATTTGTCATCTGAACAGTGTTTTGAATATGAGTAATTAAAGCAATTAATTATAAAAATGTTTAATTAATCAATATAATTGCAATTTTTAGATAGTAAATTCATAATTTTTTTATTTTGAATATTTTTTCTTATCTTTATTTTTTTTTTAATCTCTTCTTAGAGTTTAAAAGAACTTGCATTAGATGCCAAAAAGTTTACTATGTTAATGTTGATGGTGATTATGTACGAGATGAAGAATGTGATTTTCATTGGGGTCGTCTGTGGAAGAGAAGAAGTATGACTTTACATACCAATTTTATAATAGCTTATTAGATATTTATGGTGACTGATTTATCTATTTTTTAAATATATTGGTAATTTTTTTTGCTAAGATATATATATATAATATCTGTTAGGATATATATATATATAGATTGATAGATGGATATTATATATATATATATATAATATACCAGACAAAAAGTTTGGCAATAACATAAAAAAATTAACTTTTACATCTATTACAACTTTTTACATCTATTCAATTATCTGTTATGTAATGCAAATTTAAGTTAGTTTCAGACAACAATTCTTCAAGGTAAATTAGCTCTGATTTTTACATTTAGCAAAATTNATTGATTGTACAATGAAAATTCATGTTATGAATTCTTTTCTATTTTTAATAAAAAATAATAATTGTAAAAAATATTTCAATAATAGTGAGACGTTTATTGCATTATTTATATTGTGAAATATTATTTAATTTTTGCTGCAGGAAACAATTATTATTGTTTGTAGTTAAATTAATATACCAGTCAAAAAGTTTGCCAATAGCAGAAAAAAATTAACTGTTACATCTATTACAACTTTTTACATCTATTCAAATATCTGTTATATATGGCAAATTTAAGTTAGTTTCAGACCAAAATCCTTCAAGGTAAATTGCTCTGATTTTTACGTTTAACAAAATTTATTTTAATTTCATGCTTAAAATGAATTTTGTTATTTTTCCTATTTCTATTCATATTTTTCTTTTGTTATGCAAGTTTGAATAAGTTTAAATAAGAAAACTTTTATTAATGCAGTTTTGCTCTAATTTTTGAAATTGTTACAATATTCTCAGGTTAAATTTTTTAAAAATATCTATGTCTATTCAAATTTATCACATATAATACAGATTTGCTTTACTTTCTGAAAATTATTTTTTATGAACTAATGGCAAAGTAGTAATGAACAAAGTAGTTTTGCTCCATTACCTGACTTGAGAGTGTTCAAAAGTGCAAAAATTTTATTTCTTAGGAAATTAAAATTAGATTGTGTATATGTTGCATAATTTTGATTACTAACAGAGATAATTAATATCAAACTTCATTAAAAATAATTCATTTAATTTTATTGCAATACACATATCTAAAAAAAGGTTCTTATAAGAATTATATTTAATTGAATGCAATGCTTCATTCCAAAAGAACTGTGTGCAGTTATACTGTGCCGAATTTAGGGTAAAAAATATTTCAATTATGCACATTTCAAAGTAATAAAACCAATTATACCGACCGAGATGCCCAGGCATGTAAAAGCTTCAATCAGACAAGCATTTTTTACACTTTCAAGTCTGACCAGGCATATGGGTCACTAATTTTAAGTACCAGTTTTGTTTCTAAAACTTTGTTAAAAATCGACAAGATGATTAAATAAGCAGGCCCAAAGGAAGAATAAAAATGAAAATGATTATGTTTGATAAGACATAAATTTATTAAATTTAATTATATAAATAAGAATATATTAAGCAAAGTTGACCTATGCTTCTTTTTTCTCTAATCATATTTCATTTTATTAAAAGAAAAAAAGTTTACTCCAAGTGCTGTATATGAAAACATTATTAATATAAAAGTTAATAATATAATTAGAAGTAACATGAGGAAGGACATGCACTTTGCTAATAATATTTAATAATTTTGATAATAATGCATCTTAGTTAAAAAAATAATGGTATGGAGAGTCTCTCTACCCATAAACTTGACCAAAGCTGCTTCTTTGGATAGAGAACACTATTAGTTCATCTTATAAAAGAAGGTGCCATGCTGAATTGGTTATTCAAATAAGTTTGTCTTGAATATAAACTTTTGATAAATAATGAAAATTAATGCAATTTTAACTATGTATGTAACTATCAGCAGCATATTTTAGCAAGGCATAATGAAGCTATACAAAAAGTTTTAAGGATTACTGCCCGCTGGAGCAGTTTATTATATTTCATACTTTCATCAAGTAATCTCTCATAACAAGTAAAATATGTTTGCATTCTTTTTGTTACATATAGTAAAACCTCCCAACATATGATGCAAGGATGTTCATAGATGTTAAGAGACCAAATACTGAACTGATATTTAATCATACAAAAATGTCAAAACCCATTTATGCAGTAATATAATTTATTTTACATCTGGATTTGTTATCTGTCATACCTGGAGGAATGTGACTATTGTAAGTTTCAAGTATACTTAAGTTGCGGGAGTCATTTCTGATAATGAGGGTGATGTAAGTAACCTCTCTTTGTTGAGAAGTTTTACTGGAAACTGGATAATAGCCCATGTTCAGAAAGGAGTTCAGTGATTAATAAACTTTTTCTAAGTAATTATTTTTGTCGGTGGAAAATAAAAAATGGTAGGAGATGACAAAATAAGGAAACATTCTTTTTCTTTCGGGCATTTGAATGCAGAAATATAATGTAAAATGTTAAAATAAGATTTAGATTTTTTAAAAACCTTGTCTCACAAGGTTTATTTCTGTACAGATTGTTATTGTTATACTGATGCGAGATTAACATCAAACTATATACTCACCCAATTATTCCACAAAATTTTATTTATGTGGCAAAGAGTAATTTTAAGCAGGTTATTAACTGTACTTCAATTTCTTCGGTTTATAAAATTGCAAAGTAATAATTACAAAGTTACAAATAACCTTAATGCCTTGCATATTTTTATTTTAACGAGAAATTCTTTTCTAGTTGCTGGTGCTTTTGAGAGTCGTTATAATTGTTGTCAAGGAGATGCTGAATCTGATGGTTGCTGTGTTAACCTTGTAAGTGTTTCATATCAATCAAACTTTTATTTTGAGAGAGGTAATTATGGAAAAAATTAAATACGTACGATGTAAATGGTGTATCTTTTTAGGGTCATGTATTTGAAGGCTCAGAAAATCATGTACTGAGTGGTTATGTAAAAACCTTGCCTAAAACTCCTCCTCCAGATAAATATTATGGAATCTACGCATTGGATTGTGAAATGGTTTGTATTTACTTTTGAAATTTTTAATTTTAGCATTTTTAATTATTAATAAAAAAGGGAGCTCAAATGTTTCAGTGCTATGTAGACTTTTAGTCTTTTATTAAAACTAATACTTTTTACTTGTTTGACAAATTAAATTATTTAAAATATTAAAATAATATAATTTTCTTTGTGTTTATTTAATTTATTTTTCTTTTGTTTCTTACATTAATACTTTGCTTTACAAACTATGAGACTGCAGCTCAAAACATTTCTTTTTTAGTGTTACACAACAGCTGGGATGGAATTGACTAGAGTAACTGTTGTGGGACCTGATATGAAACCAGTTTATGAGACTTTTGTTAAACCTCTAAATCAAGTTCTTGATTACAATACAAGGTATGAACTTTAAAACTCAGCCAATGATTATTATTTTAAAATATTTGTAGAGTTATTTTACTTAATCAATACTTTATAATATGCATTTAAAAGGCTATGCGACTGTGATCCTGAAAGATGCATTAGATATTTAGCATTTAAAGACCAAATTATTATCTTATTTATTCCTTTTTCAATTAATTAAAATCATTAATCTGCAATCTGTTTACTCCGCAACCTTAAATTGTGTGCAGAATAAAATCTATTTTTAGAGATTCCCTCTACATTTGTCTAAGACATTAGCATAGAATTTAAAACCCGTTATAGGATTACTGATGTTTTGGATTCATTAAAATTCGTTATTATTTCTCACCCTTTCGTTTCCTCCAACACATTTGAATACGTAAGGCTGAAAAAGAGAGCCTAGGCATTAAATTTAATCAATTAATAGCCAATACATGGATTCCTTAACCTTCCTTGGTGAAAACTATGACAACCTACACATGAGACTCGCATTTCTGATTTCTTGATGGACGGAGGTGTTCTGCACGACTTAACCTTGCAGCCGGACCATTTTCTAAATTTATTAATTTATATGTACGTAAAAATTAATCATATTTTCACTTTGGAGCTCCATATGATTCCATATTTTCTGAAATAAAATGATTTTTATCATTTATCATAATTTCATTCTTCACTTTATTTGTTATTCTTCACACTCTGCACAATAGAATTATTAGATGAATGGATAACAATAATTTCCTACGATGATTCATCAACATCAACTAGTGTTAATCATCTTCAAGAAATCAAATTATTCCTGTATAGCAACATTTTCCCAAGACAATTGCAAATTGCATTTTTGCAAGGAATACTATTATTTTCTTTTCAGTAATTCTGAACTTCTGAACTTTTTTCTTTCTGGGAGTGTATTACTTTTTAAAATTTACTCATAAGATGTTTGACAATGCTAATTTTTTAAAAAATATATATTTCATTTTATTTTTATGATTAACTGGGTAAATTTCAACGTTTCTTATATTTTGTTTTACAAAAATAGTAACAATTAATTTTATTCTCCATTTATTTGTTTATTGCTTCATTCAGTTTTGCTATAAAAAATATGTTAGTACTTATAGGTTTTCTCTTATGCAATACTAATATGAGCAGTCATATATTAGCATCATTTCTTTTAACCCCCTAAGCTTTGGTTCTGACTTTCTCTGAATTTTCATATGTAGGTTTTCTGTATCAAAAAACTAGTTTTCCTATGTTATTCAATAGAAAAATAGTGCTTATGTGGAATATTTTAGTACAATTTTACTCAGGTGCTTCACTTGGGAGGATTAAATCTATTGAAAAAAAAACTGACTATGTACTGAGTATTTCTTTTATTTGCTTTCCAATGTTGTCTTATAAGTGGTATGAGCTAAATGATGAAACTTTTTTGACTATCTATTTTGTTATATATTATTCTGTAACAAAGTTAAAATTATTTTTTTTGTCTTTAAATATCTTTTATATCCATTTGCTAAATAGATAACTGGAATTTAAAAAAAATCTAGATTGTAATTGTCTATTAAGTTTAAATTGTCTATGTGGTATTTAAATGGTCGATTACTAAAATTTATTGTATGATACAAAATTAAGTTGACCTATCTGCATATTTTAACTGTTGAATTCATTTTGATAGTGATTTATATTATGCATTTTTTTTTTAATGTTTATAGGTTTTCATGCTAATATATAACAGTTTCTAGTAAATATATTTTGATAGACTGCAGGAATTTCAAACGTCTGTATCATCATTTTATGAAAATAATGATGCAGACTTACTCTACTCAGACTTATATCTACTTGACTACATATTTAAATTTTATTGAATTATTGGAGTAGATATGAATTGTTACAGAAATTTGTTGATTATTTTGTTAAAAAAAAAAATTTATTTGACGTTTCAGCATATTTTAGTATTGAATTGATATTGGTCGGGACGTATGCAAAGTTATTAAAAAATTTTTAATGGGCTTTTGGAATATTATAGGAAGAGCTCAAGTAATTGTATTTTGAAAAACTACTGGAATTTCTTTATTTTATCCTCAATGTATTTAAAAATTTGTATATGTGTTGTAAAATGTATAGGTAAGAGAAATGTATGGGAGATATTGTATAAAAATTAAATTTTCACTTATCTCCTTAATTTAGAATTGAGTTAATGGAATGAATGGTCTATAAAGAAGCACAGTCTCAATTAAGGAACTCTTTAGGGTTTTTTTAAAACTTATTTATTATTATTTCTTTTTTAACTCGGAAGGTTTTATTTATGCTAATGATATTTGCTAGAAGAATACTGTTTGAAAGATAGCATTCATTTTTTTATAGCTTAAAGATATATGAGGAAAATAAAAATAGTGTGTAAAAAAATTTATCAAAATATTTTTATCAATAAAAAATAATCTACCAGGACAATTTCTTTATATATCATTACAATTTTGGATCTTGCATCTTAAAAATATTTTATTTTCTTCATATTTTTGTAGTTTTCACAAGTGCGAAGTTAATCATCTGTTTTTCATTATAGGTTCAGTGGTATTACCGAAGACAATTTGAAAAATGTTCGAACAACTCTAAGAGATGTACAAGCAGTTTTATTATGTATTTTTAACAGTAGGACTATTTTAATTGGTCACAGTCTTGAAAGTGATTTTAAAGCACTAAAGGTGGGTGTCTGTTTCTGTTAACTTTAATAATAATAAATACTGTACGGCTTTGAAGAGAACTCCACTAGACTAAAAGTCTGGAGCTGTGAGCTGCTATGGTAACCAGAGAGATCACATTTCTAATGGGAGAGCATTAGGGCAATGAAGGAGTTGATTGGTCATAAAGCAAAAATTCTTACATTGATCTTTGCCAAGATTAAGAAAAAATTATTCACCTCATACGCCTATCTGAAGTGACTTACCATCAAAACTGTAGTATCAGCCACCACGCGAGACTGGATGTCTAGAGAAGTTCTTCCGAAAGAAGCACAATAACTTGACTTATTTATGTTTTATTACTTTAATTAGCTTTTAAATTTCTGTATTTCAAATAAATTTTTGGAACGTTTAAAATAAAAACAAATTAATGACATAGTGTTATTTATGTGAAAGAATCAATTACCAAATACTATGTGTTGATTTTTAGCATCTCTCTCTCTCTCTCTCTCTCTATATATATATATATATATATATATATATATATATA